TCAGAGCGCAATGAAAATGTCACTCTCGAACGCTAAACACGACCAACACAATCAATCCGCGATTTCCGTAAATGCTGTATTTTCTGCTCTCAGTACGCACTCCGTCTCAGAAAAAGCATGCATCATACAAGCCGCGCGAAAACGACCTCGACAAAGGAGCACTGCGTTTATGGCCTCGACTTTACTCGAAGCCGCCTAATCTGAGATATTGCGTAGGTACTACACGACGCAGATCATTAGTGGCACGAGCTGTAACCCAAACGGCGAGTAAATGAGAAGTTAGGCACTCACCTACAAGATGCAGACCAGATAAAAAAGCAGCGCCAGCCGGGTCCCGTTCTGTGTGTGCGTCCTGACCTTTGAGGAGGGTAGTCGGGCTAGTGACTAGAGTAGTGACTGCCGACGGATGAGTGATGATGGCGGTGCGCCCGCCGCGGTCGAATGGTTCCTCTTTCCGCGATGCCCGCCTAAACCGCCGTTTGGGAACAAATACCGTTTCGTAGAATAAAAGCGGTGCAGAACACGTCGAGGTGATGAATGCAATGATGGTATGCGACGGCAATATTAGTATAAATTTCTGGAGGTCATCCGTATTACAAATGATTATTACTTTCGTCGATTTCTTTGTTCACGGAGGAGACACTCGTTTTTTGCACTATTTAGTAAAACATCATTGGTAAACGTGTGTTCTATCCATAATATTCGCGAACTGGTGAAGTCTGTGATTCTTAAAGGTGTGCTACATCCTTGATGTCGGCGAAGGGTTGGAGTGTGTTTATTTCCTGGACAATATGTCCGTTTTTCTGTCTGTAAATAGGCGCAATTTTTTGCAGTGTGAAAAATTTGGTTTTGCATGACACGAAAGGACGACGAAGGTAGATGGCACGCCCGAACATAATAATCTGGGCCTGCAAAGTCATGTGCGGCATAATTTACGTCTGCCTCCCAACGTTTCGGCTGATTTTAAAGTGACATATAGTCATTCCTCATTTGTGCTTCGCATATCATCGATTCAAACTGTGCGTGAGATCTGCCAATTTTTTCGCTTTGCACTTTCTTTGATAATATTTAAAAGCAATAGCTGCTATGAGATCAAGACAAGGGCCGTTTTTGGCACCGTGGTTGTCCACCTACACCGGTATCCGTAACTGGTGTAGCACGAAATAAGATAAAGAATTTGGCATTTCCGACGTACCTTGGGAATCGACGTTATGCGAAGCATGTGGAGGCAAAGTGACATATGTTTACATATGTTGAAGAGTTGGAGATGTTTATATAACCAGTTCTTTGCACATATGCAACGATGCGAACATGAACCAGAAGTGATAAGCTGATATAAAGCACTGGTGCTCACGAGGATGGTAGTCCTGGAGACAGATACATAAATCAACTTCAGTGCATGGCACCTAACTGCAATTGACGCTAACCCAACCAGACGGCTGCATCATATGAGCAAATATCTAATGTTTAAAAAATTTATCAGCCAGCACTGCAACTACAATTGACCTGACACGGCTCTGTGGTAGAATGCTTGATTGCCACGAAGAGTGCTTGGGTTCGATTCACGCTGCAGCATGCGACCATGACACTTATTCCTTGCATTCGTCGGGTAAACGCTGCCGATATAAGCTATTTCTTAACGCCCCCACGTTAAAATTTCCCATGTGTGCTCTTGTCGTTCCTTTGTAGATAAGTGTCAATCACCTGTGGCACATACCCACTTACGAGTGCTGCATACCCGCTCGCAGGTATGTGCCACCGATTGAGGGAAGAGGTTGACCACGTGCGCGATGGGATAGTGGCATCATTCATGTCTTGAGCAGCGCGTCATATTCATCAGACCATCTTACTCTCTCATACTAATTTTGGTTCACGCCAAGTTAAGGAGGTGATCACGACGTAAACGGCTATAGATAGCTTGACGCCGAAACTCCTTGCAGTGCGCAAATAAATGCTTCGCCTTTAAAACTAAATAATTATGAAACAACGAGAACTGCTTTGATTCAAACCACGGCCCCCTGCGTGCCAGCTCAGTCTTCTACCACTGAGCTACGCCGCTGCGGGAAACTTCGTTGCAAAGTGACCCTAAGCAGGCTTCATATCAGGTAAGGAGTCTGGCTAATACGTGTAATAAAGCGTTTTGGAACAGCAAGGGGACAAGGATTCCCAATATGTCAGTAGCGTAGCGAGAGAGTAGTCGAATGCTCCGACCAATTACAGTAGCCTCAGCATAATTCTTTATTGTCATCAGACAAAACATAAAAAAATTGGGGAACCTAACGATTCGCCTTAGTAGTTGAAAACGATAGCGATATACTGTTCATAGTGCGTACTTCGAACACTTATTCCACAAAACATTTCCGAACTTGCTGTGCGCCCATCACGAGGCCTTAAGGGAATAGGTGCAGTAGCACGTGTGCCTTTTGCAGGGGGCGACCGGCTTTAAACCACGAATTCGTGGTTTAAAGCCGGTCACCATAGATAACCACATTTTCTGACACCCGCTAGCAATGATCACTTGTAGCACGCATTATTACTGCCATATTTCATATTGAAATGTGAAGCATGCATGCAGGACGCGTGTGTTTGTAAAGCATGAAGGCTACTTTCAATGCATTTCCAAGGAGGAGAAGTTCTTTTCATTGCATTCAAATGCAGAAGCATGGCCATGTTGTAGAACATCCGCTTCCTACACAACCGACACGGGGTCGATTCTCACTCACACTCAAACGACTCTGGTTCGTTCCCGACTCTGACCACGAATTTTAGACGAAGCATTTCATAGCAAACTCCGGCCACTTTGACCGTATCTATCTATCTATCTATCTATCTATCTATCTATCTATCTATCTATCTATCTATCTATCTATCTATCTATCTATCTATCTATCTATCTATCTATCTATCTATCTATCTATCTATCTATCTATCTATCTATCTATCTATCTATCTATCTATCTATCTATCTATCTATCTAGCCACCTATGGCTTTTAGCTCTCCTGGCCGTTTTGTTAATGAGATCTGTACCGAAATTGGTATGGTTTAACATGACTGTATGACGAGTTATATAAAATAATCGTAACATTAAAATAATGACATGTATGTCATCAATATCATGGTTTACATGCCATGCATGGTCTTGCTGCTCCTGCGGTGGTTCCGTTCACATAATATGTTGCAAAAGTTATGGTAATACATGACTGCATGGTGATTATAAGTGACAAGCTCTCACGTGGAAATTATGACATGCGTGTCATGTAAGAACATCACTACATGCCACGCCCATAATGGGCTCACGGCCGTTTCGCTTGCTTCACATATACCAAATTTGGTATTACGTGACGAGAATGGATGACGAAGGTATATGACAGGTGCAAACATGATATTCAATACATGCGTGTCATGTAAGATCATGAGTATAAGCCATGCTCATGATGCGCTCGCGGCTGTTTTGCTAGTTTCAAATATACCAAATTTGATAATACGTGACGTGAATAGACGACGAAGGTAAATTACTCGTCCAGAAACGATAATTAGGCATGCGTGTTGTGTAAAACGTCACTACATGCTACGGTAATAGCGCACTCGCGGTCCTTTAGTTAGGTTCACATATGCCAAATTTGGTATTACGGGACTTGAATGGACAAACACAAATGCCAAGCGTGAGCATGGTTATCATGACATAGAAGTCATGTGCCGCATAATTTGCGTCCGTCTCGTAACGTTATGCTAATTTTAATGTGACAATGCAACCTTCCTCATCCGTGCGTCGCATATCATCGATTCCCACTGTACGTGAGATCTGCCATTTTTATTATTTTTTTTTGTCGTTTGTGATTTTTCGGTCACGCATGAGATGATGAATTTTCGCTCACCAGCAACGAAGCGAACGCCAACGCCAGAATTTCTCCTAAACGAACTTTTGACGCGCATTGCGTTAAAATGCACATAATTTCTTACAAGTGTGTAGCAGGTACCACGCTTCTCCAAAGAATGGTATGGTGAATACATCCCTGCTACATAAAAATAAGGTTGATTGATAGTGCAGTGGGTAACCTGGAAGTGTGCTTGTCGTAGTTACCAAAGGAGTGTTTAAAAAAACCTCAAGAGAAGCCCTATTTTATCTGTCGCTGTGACTGTGCTGCGCGTTCCACGCAGGCCTTGCGTTTATTTTGTCTTTGCGTGTGTATGCGGATGCTGACTAAATAGAAGCAATGTTTTTTTTTAATAAAAAAAAACTTCAATTCTGACCACAGTGCATGCCCTGTCTTCTTCTCGTCGTTTGTATTCATTCTAGCGCTGCCTTTTACGTGATTAAGCCCACATGCACTTTTTCACATAACGAAGGCATCAGGTTTGGAGGAAAGAGAAGATGATGGATATCACATGTCTATGAGCATTAGAGAAGGCAGGTCAGCACAATATTGTCTTGCTTTGTTGGCCAGTTCTGTCTCATATGTAAGACAGTTTGCGGCCGTCTAGTCGGGTAGACGGCACGGATGTAGGCTAATGTCGGAAGAGTAAGCATGGACCTACTAACTCACGCCTACAAACCTCAGGAAGGGAGATCTGAAAAGTGCTTACTGAATTGCCCAGCTATGGCAACCTTTTGTCGTGGGCAAGATACAACACCCGTGCAATTAGCAGTGTGGGGCTCGTTAAGGAACCTCAGATGGTCCAGGGTTGCCTAAAGTTATTACGAGAACTTTACCAGGACGTGTCTCATAATCACTTTTTAACTTTAACGCCTAAGAACCCCGAATTCGTCATTAATTTCCTTCTTTAGCCTCAACACTACAACACCGTCCATCTTTCTGTCAACACCCTCGCTACGCAATTACCAGAAAAAAAACGATGTTAATGAAGAAATTTAGCAAAGATCTCGAAATACAGCGTTGGACTCTCCGCAGATTTCAAAACCCGCGGGAGCAGAAGCAATAGACGCATGCGCGCGCGCTCCTGACACGCGCATGCGCGCGAGGCTGCACAACCTGTCCCGTCGGTCGGCGAGGGAATCGACGGGCGGCTTGTCGCTGGCCGGCGACTGAGAGGGCGCGTACAATGTTTGCCCTTGCTGTGCAACTGATTTTCTGGTTTGTTGGCGTCGCCGTCATCACACTCGCGTCTCTCGTGGTTGCCGTTCTCTGCGCTGTTCATGTCGCGAGGAGAGCCACCTGGAAGAAGCTCGCTCGCTTCCCCGGTCCTAACGAGGATATACCCCTGCGATGGGTCTTGCAGCAACACTCACATGCTGCTTCCGTCAAGCACAGGACGCCGTACAACGTGTGTGAGTGCTTTCAGCTCCACTAATTCTTTATGTGAACTTGTATATTGCTTGCAGTGACGTCAAAGTGGTGTTCTCCCAGACGTCGCTAACTTTCGCGATTGCACATGGATCAGAAGTGTGCGATGCATCGCTTGAGGCATCACAAAAGTTTGACCTGTTCAGCGTCAGATTTTGCGACAAAAAGACAGGCTGATTCTAACGTGCTACATCATATAAACACGGTATTAAACCATTTAAACCTCCCCTGGCAGACCAGTGGCTATTGCGCTGTTGAGGCATACGCCGTGGCTCGTGGGTCTCGGCAATCTATGCGGGAGTTCCGTGTGATTAGAATTATGTGCGTATTATATAACATTAGGTAGTCAACATGTCCGGAAGCCTGTACTAAAATGTCTCATAATCAATCGAGGTTCTGTCGGTTAAAACGCCAAAAATTATTTCAGGCATTGCGGCCGCAGCGACCGCATTTCGATGATGGTGAATGCGAAAATGCTCGTTTACCGGTGTTGAGGAACACCAGGTGGCCAAAATTATTTCCTTGTCTCCCAACAACGTTAACAATTACAATCTTGTGGTTTCTTGCATGTAAGAACAGGGAAAAGACTATACTTTGTGGTAGCATGAACAGAAAGATTTGGTAATATATATGCCTTTTCAACTTCGCTGTGTTAAGGAACAGTAAGATTCACCACGCGTTTTCTGGAAAATGAGGAGAGTGACGGTGTTCGTGCGATCATGTTTTACTGGTTATATTCGCATGCGCTACACAGTGCAGAATAATTGCATTGAACAAATCAGTTGTCTTGCTATCATCGAACCGGCTGTGTGTAGTGGTACATTTACGTATCTCATACTGTGGCCCTTATCTCCACCCCCTCTACATACGCTACCACTCTCCTTCCTCGATTCTGACGACCATCCAGAAATATGAGGAACTCAACTATTTCGCCAAATTACAGACAACGCATATAGTAAATATGCTAATTGATTTTGTCTTATTTAAAGCTACAAATATTCGGAACACTGTGAAATCGTGCAGTCGGACGCACAAGGATTGCAACAAAGAAGCTGTCCAATTTGATCGTATTTCGTGGCTGTTCATAGGTTGAACTTGTTTGTAGGTAGGTAGAACTCGGCACAGCTGATAGAAGCATGAGCACGACGCCGCTCGTACTGGGCTTTCCGGTGGGCTGGATCCTGACGTAAAGCTCGCGTACGCGCAGCATTCCACTCGCTGTGATGGGCAGTATCATCTCGTCATTTCTTGTTCTCCCTTTTCCTGGTGGCGTATTCTGGATGTGCTCGTCGCTGCCGTCGCCGTTGTCGTCCAGCCACAAGCCCGGCGTCACGATTCACTGCTGATTCTTTTGGGAGTACGTACAGTCGACCCAAAAAGTTTACGGACCACGCGAGCGCGTAGCCAAAAGCGTCTTCGTGACACTTCCGCTACGTCAGTGGCTATCGACAGGATCACAGCACCCAAGAGGCATCCCTCCCTTAATCTATGGCCTGTCAGTTTTCAGACTGTGTATCACCGTGTTTGGTAAAAATACACCTCAGCTTTCTCACTTTAACGCGAGACACTTTTTAGCATCTGCTTCTGCAAGCATCTGCCTCGAGAGCAGTTTATGAGCACCACTGTTATCAGTCACAATCTCTATCACAAAGCCAACCGAACGGCGTTCGAGGCCCGCCGTGATAGTGCTGATACTGCCATGAAAATATAAATGCGATTGTCACACTGCTACTTGATTGATTGATTGACTGATATATGGGGTTTAACGTCCCGAAAACACCTCATGATTATGAGAGACGCCGTAGTGGAGGGCTCCGGAGATTTCGACCATCTGGGGTTTGTTAACGTGCATCCAAATCTGAGCACATGGGCCTGTAGCATTTTCGCCTCCACTGAAAATGCAGATGCTGCAGGCGGGATTAGACCCCGCGATCTGACGCTTATACTGCAGGTGAGCCCTTCGCGCGAAAACTGCGAACTAGCAATGCCCTACGCAGCGGTAAAATCGAAAGGCCAGTGAATAAGAGGAGTCGTTTTTGCCCTATAGAACTGCGGTGACGGTAGATAACGCACCACTATGGCAGTTTGGCACGTGCTCGCTCGATCCGCAAACTTTTTTTGGTCGACTGTACTTCCTTTAGGCATACCATGACTGCCCCGCCGCGGTGGTCTAGTGGCTAAGGTACTCGGCTGCTGACCCGCAGGTCGCGGGATCGAATCCCGGCTGCGGCGGCTGCATTTCCGATGGAGGCGGAAATGTTGTAGGCCCGTGTGCTCAGATTTGGGTGCACGTTAAAGAACTCCAGGTGGTCGGAATTTCCGGAGCCCTCCACTACGGCGTCTCTCATAATCATATAGTGGTTTTGGGACGTTAAACCCCACAAATCAATCAATTAGGCATACCATGACTCTAGCTTATCGAGTGGCGGAACTCGGTTGCGTGTCTTCGTCGCGGGGCGTGACTTGTAATATAGTGCTAGCAGCTGCGTGGCTTTCGATAATGCGTGGCTTGGTATGATGTCACAATCTTATGTGAGGTGTTCCAGCTGCTTCGGCATCGCTGGTTGCCATGGTCAAAGCGCGGCTATCTTTTTTTGTGAACCGCGCACTTTTTATGGCTCGCTTAAACACCTTCACTGTTTGAAAAAAGTTTGTCAGGTTTCTGGTTTTCAATATTGTCCTCCCTCACTTATAGAATCATATCAATCTCGCGCCCCGAGTTTATTTTTGTGGCAATAGGTTTTCGACTGGTCCTCGTTCAAGCTTTCATGACCGACATGAACTGACCTTGAATGAACTATAGACAGTAGACTTTAGTAACGTTACATTATTGTACGTACGCATCACCTCTTGAAGTCTCAATTATCATCCTTATCACTCTTTTTAGGGGCGAAGCTCCTTATGGCGTGGCTTGGGCGTCCCTCGTAGTACGTAACCACCAGTGGCATATACCCGAAATAGGTATAACATTTGACCTCCAAGGTGGTGCCGGTGAGAGATTTCTTCTGTGCGTTGTTTAACAATAAAAAATAGTGCTCAATGTACATGCCAATGGCTGCTAATGGGGAATGAGAGACAGGAGCATTCGGCTTTTAGTCAACGCGCACGCTGCAATCCCCATTAGCAGCCATTGGCATGTACATTGAGCACTATCGGACAAGAAAGGGTTGCTACATTATACTCGCTGGGTGTAACCTCCTTAGTTTTAGAAAGGTTTAGCGAGCATTGGGCCGCAGTGCCATGAATACAGTGAACTAGTATATACCATGAACTCAAGGTGGTTGAAGGTGGGAAGTAGACCCGAAGCGCAAGCCGTAAGAAAGTGTGCATGTGCCACCTCTCGTTTAGTCCTTGGAATGTCCACTGAATGGCGGTGCTTCTATATGGGGAATATATGATAAAAAGGTGCGAGATGGTGGGACTTGGAGTGTTGAATAGATGGACGAACGGACACACAGACAGATGCATGGATGGACGCATGAACGGACGCAGGGGCGGATGCGTGAACGAACGCAGGGACGGGCGCACGAACAGACGCATGGACGGTCACACAGACGGACGCATGGACGGACGAATGCTTCGCCCCACTCTCCATCATTCACTCCGTGGATATGCTGCCATTTTTTCCCCTTTTTCTTTTTCCCCTGTGTAGAAAAGTTAGCTGGCCAGAGCGCACAAGCTCAGGCCGACCTTTCTGTATTCTGATATTCCTTTTTATATTTTAATGCTCTTTAAAGGACCAATATATGTCATCTCAGTGGCTCATGCAAAATTAACGCAAGCACACCGGATACACAAGACGATAACGACACAGTACGAGCGCTGTGTCATTATCGTCTTGTACCTCCGTCGTGTTCGCGCAGATTTACCAAATATGCATTGTTTCCAACTCTCCCATCTCTCTACCTTCCTCAGTAGCTCACATATGTTCAACATTTATGGCGCAACAGAGCGTGTCGCCACTATTATTTGAATGTTCAACTATCAGCGAGTGCAGCAGCAGATAGCGCGGCAGTTCATTTCGTTCATTTCTTATCATTCACCGCTCGTCACTAGCATATTGAGGTGATAACCGCCGAGAAAGAAGTGCTTTGGGTATGAATCAGCCAGGATGCGATAACACGAACGTGTGGGCCACAATAGCCGCGGTTGAGCGAGGAGAAAATACAGTGTTCGTTGCAACAAAACAGAGAACACCGCCTACCTGCTGTTCTCGTTTCTGACATGACCTGCGCCACGGACGAAAATTGTGATAGCGTCTCATGTGAGGAGGGGGGGGGGGGCTATTCTACGTTGTCCCCATATTTATTTCATTAATGTTAAGAAGCACGCTACGGCGTCTCTCATAATCATATGGTGGTTTTGCGACATTAAGCCCCACATACCAGTCAGTTAGGAAGCAGAAGATATTGATTGATTGATTGATTGATTGATGATTTATTGATTTGTGGGGTTTAACGTCCCAAAACCACTATTTGATTATGAGAGACGCCATAGCGGAGGGCTCCGGAAATTTTGACCACCTGGGGTTCTTTAACGTGCACCCAAATCTGAGTACACGGGCTTACAACATTTCCGCCTCCATCGGAAATGCAGCCGCCACAGCCGGGACTTGATCCCGCGACCGGCGGGTCAGCAGCCGAGTACCTTAGCCACTAGACACCGTCGCGGGGCGAAGCAGAAGATATTGTCATTTTTGTAGCATTTACTGAATATTGCCTATGACTAAATGACGTGCTGTCTTTGAAAGGAACCAGCATTACGGAATGGATCACATTTGGCGATTACTCCCACGCTATGGCGTTAGGGATACACAGAAGTGATTTTTAGTTCTCGAAATTATTGAAAAAGAAAATTAGAATATTTGACTTTGTAGAGCATGCCTGCGATGGTTTTCCTCGCGATATTTGTTGAGACGGCGTCATTTTGGGCAAGCTGCGGCTCTGGGAACGCCACCGGCGCACGTGAAGCTTTGAAAAGAGGT